TTTAATGGGTTTTTTTTACTCAACTTTGGGTATGTACTTCTTAAAAAACAGTCCTATGACCAAAAAAATCACCCAGGGGCATATTTACTGTAAGTAAATGTATTTTTAATGTATATTAACGACAAGTTTTATACTTCCGTCATTTTGTGATGTCACAAGCCGTACGACAACCCACCAGAACCTGCGTTCAGCCCCTCACCTAGCAACCCCCGGGTGAAGCTCCACCTCCTCAGTATAAAAGGCCGTCACAGTGTTGTTGTGTAATGCGCAGCTCATCTAACAACAAGCCTCCAATAGGGCAATGAGTAGAGTGTTGGACCAGAGAGTGGGAGACCAGGGTTTGAGACTGGCATGGACAAAATTTAATTATTTATTTTTGTTCATTATGAACACGTTTTCTCATGTACCTCTATTGTTTAGCTTATTAAAGCCTATTTGTTCGAGTTTCTGAGGTATTTTGACCGCTGCTGCTCCCTGCTCTGGTAACAGCATGCAGAGTGAGCGCAGAGCAGAGGAGTGGGGGGAAAAAAGAAGCTGTGACCACGACTCTGCCTCTGGGTCTCATATGGTTGTACAACGGAGCTTCTGCTATTATTAGCCATGCTAACGTAAACGCTGGCTTTGGAGGGCGGAGTTAATGTCAACAGATTTTTGGAGGGCGGTACCAACAGAGCTCATTAACATAAACAGCTCTTCTGAACGGAAGTCAGAGCAGGCAGAACTAGAAAATRKGAAATTTTATTATCTGAGAATTATTTTGTGCATTAAATTGAATGAACATGGTCTGGATAGCCCACAGACATACCATAAACATTTCTAGGGCCCATAATTGGTCTCCTTTAAGACTTAAAGTTCATCCAACGTGATCTGCATATTTTTTATCTTCTCCACCAAGGAGGTTATGTTTTAGGGTTGGTTTGTTTGTCCGTCTGTGTACAAGATTACTCAAACGGTTATGAGCGGATTTTCTTGAACTTTTCAGGGCCGTGTTGGGTTTTTGGCAAAGAACAACTGATAGAATTTTGGTGGTGCTCTGACAACATCTGCCAGACGATGATGAGCTGCAGCCTGCTGCGATCTGGCACAAACAGAAACTGAAACTTAGGCTGCGTTCACACTGACCGCAGGTCTTAATGCTCAGTTCGGATTTTAAGCAAAAATCCAACTGTTTTTGTGTGGACGTTCACATTATATTTTAAATGCGACCTTCATCTGACTCCAGTATGAACCCATCACAACAGACGCTTTGCTAACTGTTAATTTCAAATAGTTAATGGTATAATTTTAAGAAAACATCTTTCTTAATCTCTTAGTATTCCTTATCTTAAAAGGAATTCGTAAGAAACTAAATAAATCACTAAAAAACACAGATCCTGACAAATTCTATACGACCACTAGCGGACCTTAGAACAGTGATTCCCAACCACAGGTACATGTGTACCCCTAGTGGTACGCAGCATATTACAGGGGGTATGTGAAAAGGTTTCCCAGGTGTATAAAAAATAATAATAAAAATAGGACTGAGATATGTAAGTAAGTAAGCAAGTAAACTTTATTTCTATAGCACCTTTCACAGACACAAGCATCACAAAGTGCTTCACAGAAAGCAAAAAATAATTAAAAACAATAAAACAGATCACAGATATAAAAACAACAATTAAAACGCAATAAAAAGCACTTAGCTAAAAGCCTGTCTGAATAAAAATGTCTTAAGATGTTTCTTAAAAGAGTCAGTAGAATCTGAGCAGCGAAGGGACAGAGGGAGAGCGTTCCAGAGCCTCGGGGCCACCACCTGAAAAGCTTTGTCTCCACAGGTTTTATAATGGGTTCGAGGGACCATCAGCAGCATTTGATTAGAAGACCTCAAAGTCCTGGATGGACAGAGAGGCTTCAGAAGGTCCAGTATGTATTTGGGGGTAGGACCCTATGATTTTTGCAATGCAGAAAATGCAGACAGAATCAAATTGACACAAAATGGAATTCAGTAAAAATGCGGAATCTCTTAGCTAATTTGGGCGAGTTTCTGAGGTACTTTGGATGCTGCTGCTTCCTGCACCTGCCGTTACCTGGTTATTCACTTTCAAGGCAACATTTTTATCTTTATGTTTAATTTGGGTTTAAAAGAATAAAATGCCTGAGAATCAAATGTTCAAATTAAGGGGATTAAATTAAAAAAATCATTTAATAATCAGCTGTTGTACATTATAGTTTTGGAGAAACATCATCACGTTTGACAGAGGGGGTACTAGGGGTTTGACAAAATGGTTCAGGGGGTACACAAGTCTATAAAGGTTGGGAACCACTGCCTTAGAAAACACAAACTAATTTATGCATTTATAAAACAACATTTGGATGTAGCGAGGAGAGTTAGGGTTAGACGTATTTCTTCAACAAAAACTAGGCTTTTAATTTGAACTTGAACATAGGTGATATATGGTTCAATCATAGAAAATTTAGCATTTTGGCTCAGAGACTCGGAGAGCATCAGTGAGAGTCAGGCCACGTCCTTGTCTGCTGCTTTTCACGGTCAATTGGCCTCCTGGCTCTGAATCAGGGATGCAGATGCCATTGACCGTCTTTATTGTCTGTCCCGCGTTGTGTTGTAATTATTTTGTCATCCGTCTTCACAGCCTCATCCAAATGAGAAAGAGGTCATCAACTCTGAGTGACAGTTTGGCTGGTGGACGTGGTTTTCATGCTGAAAGTAAACAAGGAGACATTTCGATGCCAAACAAAATGTGGAAGTCCTCTGTCAGTATCGGGGCAGGGAGTGTTTAATTGTGTGACTTAGCAGTGAGTGTGAGGGTTAATAAGACCATTTATCAGCCAGAACATAATCACACCTCGGTGTCACAGCTACACAGAGAGCTCATCTGGAGTTAAAGCCCTAACCATGACTCGTCGTTTCTCCTCTTGCAGACTCTCCGTCATTGTCTTTGTTCGTATCGCCTCTCCTCCTCTGTCACATCCTTTCTTGTCGTTTCCCCATTTTGGACCATATTTCACTTGTTCTATTGTCCCCAGTTTAGACTTTACCTTCTTTATCTGAGAGGAGATACAGAACTGTTTTTCAACTCACGTTTCTCCCTGACCTCCTGATGATCTCTCCTCATTTCCAGCAGTTTATTTCATCCTAACAGGCGAGAAGACTTTTTGTCTGCTGCCAAAAGCAGAAGGGTGATCAATTTTTTTGCTTGTCTGTTGTGTTAGCAAAATATTTCATGAACCAGCAGACTGCACCTGCAGCTCAAGCGTACTTAAGGTCAATTCTCCAAAAACTAAAACTAACTACAGTTTGTATTTTTCATTGATAAAACTAGTCTAGCTAATTCCTAAAAAAATAATTTAAAAAATAATTTATCTAGCTCCACCTTAAAAGCACAGTGTGTAGGATTTTGTCAAGTCTTTTAGCCGAAATTGAGATAATCACTAATGACAATAAAAAAACATGTCTAATCATTGCAGACAAAGACCTTGTTTTATTATTTTTATCTTATAAAAAGCTGTTTATATCTCCATGGTCGCGGGTCGCCACTACAGGCAGCCGCCATCTTGTGTACGAAGGCTCATGAAGGACAAACTGCGGTGGCGGCGTCAAAATGGTTTTAGTTGTAATACTATAAATGTAATATTTGTTGTCTGTCATTGTAGCTGGGATAATTTTACTTATTAAAGCTCATAATCTTACCACTTGAAACATCACTAGCCCTGAAGCTGCTGGTAGACATCGCGGTTGGAATTATCAAAGGTTTTTGACACCTGAGAGACACCGTAGCAACTCCTTTGAGTTTGGAAGCGGGGGGGGGGGGGTGGGGGGAGGACCAGGGAGGATGATTCAACCACTCAACCACCTGATGTCGCTGAAAACAACAAATCCTACACACTGTGCCTTTAAATGGTCTGACAGTGGGATGAATAAACATGTTGACTTTGTAACTAGCTAACCATGTATAAATAAACACTAGCTGACTAGTTTTGCATTTCTTAAACCAGTTGTAAGATAATGTTCAAAATTGCCCAATTAAGATGCAGAAAACCAAATAAGTTCTCAGTTAAATGTTAATTTTCAGATCTAAAGACTCGCCAAGACTTTGTTCAGGTCTGTTTTGGACTTTGTATTCTGCAATTAAATGTTTATTTTATCATTGTTTAACCTGGTAAGTCCCATTGAGATCACAGATCTCTTTTTCAAGGGGGGCCTGAAGGCAACCTATTGTACATATTTTTGGGGTAAACCCACGCACAAGGAGAACATGCAAACTCAGAACCAGGTATCGAACCCAGGATCTTCTTGCTGTGAGGCGTCGGTGCTAACCACTGAACCGTCGCGATGCCAAACGTTCCAGTCTAAATCTGATTTGTCTCCTGTGTGTGCTTCGGCTGCAAATAACGACGTTTTCTAGCAAGTTGTCGGCTGATAGTTTATCACTGAATATTCAAAATGCCTCTTGGAGATTCTGGTTCTTTTAGAGCTTCAAGCCTTTGGTTTGCTTTGACAACGGTGTTTGACTTCGGTTTGACAGAAATAAAAAGATGAGATGTTTTTTTCCGTTTTTGGAGAATAAAATGAAAATTAAATAACCATGCATGTTTTGTTTTTTCAGTATTGTTTTTTTAAACAAAATGTACACGGGCCTGTCCGACATGTTGGCTGGGGGTCAGGTATGATCCAGTTTCACGTCCAGCAGAGGCATGTTTTCACCAGCAGCGGGTGGGTTGGTGGTCAGTCCCTAGCTGATAATACGATCAGCTGAGGCCTCAACGTTTTCCACCTCTCCATCTGTGTCACGTAATCATGTTCACATACATGGACAGGAACTGGATTCTCCATGTTTCCACCTTTAGGCTTGTAAGACCTCATTATAGTCCAGCTGGGTTGTTACTAACACTTTCTGTTGTCTCGTTAACGTTTGACAGTCCTTCATCTAGCCCAGCTTTGTCCGGTCCCACCGATCCAGACAGGTGACTCATTGTGGTTTCTTTCCATCATTATCTTCCAGGTTCGTGACGATCTATCGCGGTCCCAGCCACACTTACAAGGTTCAGCGACTGATTGAGTCCAGCAGCTACAGCTTCAGAATACAGGCCATCAGCGACGCCGGCGAGGGTCCCTTCTCTGACACGTATACTTTCTGCACCACCAAGTCTGTTCCACCTGCCCTCAAAGGTAACCAGAGCTGATCAGGGCGGCATCTATACTGGAGTCCTGTCATGTTGTTGTCCACAGGGCGTGATCAGTACTGTAAACTGAGGGGAGGAGAGAATCCTCCCAGGTGTGGAGGACCAAAAGAGCAAAAAACCTTTGGTTTGCCTAAATGAGAAGTCAAAAGGTGATGTTTAAAATTACACAGCAGGCCCATATTTATTAGGAAAGTTTTTCAAGATGGCTGCCACAGCCAACTGACGTTTGAACACAACGTGTGTATATTCCATTCAGTTTTACAGATTTTGTAGTAAAATTCGGCAGTGAGTTCTTCTCAACATACGCTCCATGTGTTATTCATTGTGTGAGATATTTTAGCATTGGGTTTTTGAGTCAACCCTGTTTTGTCTATTAGCAAAACATCTCCCGAACTACTGGTTAATTTTCCAGAAGGTTATCATTGGATGTACATTTATACCTCATTAAACATTAGAGTCAACTCACTTCAAGATGGCTGCTGCAGCGTAGCCAACACAATAACTATAATTCAGTTTTACAGATGGTTTGGTGGTAGTAGCTGAGCATCATCCCCGACACTCTCAACCCAACACATTGTGCAAAATGTTTATGTAATAACCTGTTATTGTCAATGCTGCCTGCCTGTTAGCAAAATATCCCTTGGACTTAAAGCATGAGCTTATGATTTGACATTATTTTCTAGGTTTTAAACTCAAATTTAATTTCTCATCATGTAAGGTGGTGGTTTCATTTGAAATTGTGTTTTTGTTTGTTTGACTTGCAAATTAAAGCTGATAAAATTTGTTGCCGTTCAACATTTTTGTATAAAAATGACATGATTCCCAGAGGATATGGTTGCTTTTCAAAGCAATTTTCACCAAAGGACAAGCAGAACCGTTCTGTCTTCTCTTTGTTGTGGTTGATGCTGCTGGTTTAAATCCAACCCAGTAACCAGTATAAATCTGACTTACTATTACCAAATAAAAACACTGGATTTGTCATGAATTGGGAGCTACATAACAATAGACGTATGGACTGCTGACTCAGCATTCACATTATTATTTACCTGTTTACAGTTTCTTTCATTAGTTTTTTTAGACACAAAACACTTTCACATTCTCTGTTCTGTTTAATCTGTTTATGAATTTGAATTTATGAACGATTTATTAAAATATTCAGCTGTATTGGTAGCAGTCTGCTACGACTTGGTGCTTGAAATGTTTGTCCTTATATAAAATTTAATTTTATTTAAAATAAAAATTCAGATAAAAATACATAAATCTATTCAGTTCCTTTAGAAACACTGTTCTTTCTGAAATGTGCTTCAGCTCACCTTTAATTTAGCTCTTCTGCCACATTTAGCGTTTAGCTATAGTTTTACTGCTTTTGTGACCTTGCTGCTACCTTTAGCGTTTAGCAACATCTTTGCTAGCTTTAGCTCTTAGCTTCTGTTCTGATCATTTTAGCCTCTGTTGTGCTTGTTTTACCATTAACAACTCAGTTTTAGCTTCTTAGCTAAACGTTAGCACTGTATTGTTGCAGAAATTGCTGTTTCTCTAGTTTCTACATTAATTTTTTATTTCTCTGAATCCCACAGCCCCAAGAGTTCAGCAGCTGGAGGGAAACGTATGTCAGGTCACATGGGAGACGATCCCTCCAATGAGAGGAGATCCTGTGAGCTATGTTGTCCAGTTGCTGGTCGGACGGGAGTCTGAATATAAACAGGTTTGTGTCTCAGTTTAGTCTTTTTTTGTTTGAGAAGAGCCTACAGCTGTTGGAAAGATAAACCAAATCTTCCTCTGGAAAAATAAAGTAGCTTAGCTTGAGTGTACACCTTTAGCCATAAACTTGCTCAGGATTTGATGATTGTTTGTGACGTTGAGGTGTTGAGCAAAGAAAAACTCACAAAGACGTTCATCTGAACTCGTGTCTGTTATTTTATTTTTATTTTTCTGTGATTGGCAGGTTTTTAAGGGAGAGGAAGGTTCGTACCAAATCTCGAACCTCCAGGGAAACGTGGACTACCGTTTCCGCGTGGGCGCCTGCCGCCAGTGCCGGGACACGTGCCAGGAGCTGTGCGGACCCCTGAGCCCCTCCTCCCTGTTCACGCTCCGCCGGCAGGAGTCGGCGCTGTCCGGGGAGCAGTGCGCCTTGGACACGGGCAAGGGGGCGGGGCTGATCTCCAGCGACGAACGCTTTGCGGCGCTGATCGTGTGCGTGTTCGCGGGCCTCTCCATCCTCATCGCCTGCCTGCTGCAGTACTTCTTCATGAAGTGAGGGAATTTAATAATAGGATAGAAAGGAAAACGAAAGAAAAGAACTTTTTTTAAAGAAACACCTACGAAATAACCGAATGAAATCAAAGCAAACACTTGAGATGTACTTTTAAAGGCTGCGTATGTTGTTGTTTTTTTAGTCAAAGTATTGATTCCGGCTTTTCATTTTGTCCTCCGCCTGTTTGGTCTCATTTTTTTCTACACCTCTCATTTAAGGATTTCTGTCGAGGGAAAGAAAACTGATAATCAAGCCTTAAAATAAGTGGGAGCACAGCACATGCTCCCTAGACTGACTTGTTGCATGTTTTTATTTTGTATGTCTTTTAAAACGTATTCAGTAGACAGCATATATATTTCTTGACAGTCATTGCCTTACTTTTGATTTTTATTTTTCCGTGTTTAACCGGCTGTTTTTTATTTTTATTTTTCTGTACTCATTCAGCCATATTCAAATGTAGGGCTTTAAAGCTTTAGCTGCTCCTACTTATTGAATTCATCACTGCTCTGCAGTCTGTTGGTCAATCCATGCAATCCTCACCTGTTCTCTCATGCAGGCTGACAGAGACCTGGTGTTACATAATCATGCACACAGACTGACTTATGCTTTTGCAACGACAATGAGACAAAACCCGTATCCTCCGAAGAAGTCGTACCTGCTCAGCTTTCGCCATTCAATCACTCACCCAGCTACCAAAGTGATGCAATCCATGTGTGTGAGATGCTGCTATCCTGTAATTTCAATGTATCCAAGAGAAAATGGAAAACTGGTTAATATAAATAATAGCAAATATATATATGATGTAATATAAGTGACGGCAAAGGTAAAGTCTTGAGTGTAAAAAAAAAAAAGGTGTGGACTATATGCTCGGAAAGCTTTGAGGTCAGTTCAGCAAACAGGATCAGATTCGTCAAATCGGACCTTTTCAAATTGGGTTTAGGAACCGGCTCGGATTGCGATCAGCTGCAGTTCACTCTGAACAGTTTTATTTTTTTAGGGGGGCGCTGCATCTGTCTGCCCCCATCCTTTTCTTATCTTCTTTGCTCCTGCCAGAATAAATGGAGTCTTATTGGTGATAAAAGGTGCCAACAAACCCGTCAGTGCCCTTCTCACAGCTGTGTGTTCTGACCCGGGACCACGTCAGTGGTTCAGGTGGTTCAGCTCCGTTGGGCTACGACTGTTGGAGACTAGTTGGAAAATATCCATCTGTGTTTGCACACAGACAAGTTTTGGAAAAATCACAACGTATTTGAAGTGTATTACAATATTTATGTGTTCTACTATAGCACAGGGTGAGTCAAAAGTTTCAGGACACCCTTTTATTTTAGAGTGAAAAGAAATGAAATATCTGAATACCCCAACAAGTGATGGCTATGTCCAGAACATGGCTGCCATAAAAGGGCGTCCTCTGACTTTTGACTCGCCCTGTAAACCCTCTAAAGCAGTGTTTCCCAAAGTTGGGGTCGGGACCCAAAGTGGGGTCCCAAAACATCAAGGTGGGGTCCTGAAAAGATTTTCTGAATTAATTACATTTTTGCCTTAGTTGTTACAAAGGAGTGAGGTTAGTGTATTTAAAATGGATAAATGTAGTATAAAAATATTGTTACTATGCCCATGTTTAGTTGACCTGATATAAATGTTTATCATACAAAAATAGCTGGGGCCTCAGGTCTCTGCTACTGTTATTTTGTGGGTCAAAAGCTGAAAAGTTTGGGAACCACTGCACTTTGGTTCCCAAAGTTGGGTTTGGGACCCAATTATGGGTCATGAAGCACCTTGGATAATCTCCAGAAATCATTTTAAAGGGTAATAAAATAATTGCTGATGTAATATTTTCCCTATAATTATTACAAACACACAAAATAAGTATAAATAAGTATTTATATTTGTGTACAAGCTGTTTAGATTGTCAAAAAGCCTGTGTTTTTAGGGTTATTAACAGAGTTCGTGTATTCAGACCAGTAATATTTGGGGTCACAAGTTTTTGCCATGGATATTTTGTGGATCAGAAGATAAAAAGTTTGGGAACCACTGATCTAAAGCACCGGTTCCCTAACTTTTCAGCTTTTGACATACAAAATAACAGAAGCAGAGACCTGTGCCTCCAATAATTAATGATAAACATTGGTACCAGGTCAAATAAACATAGCCTTAGTAACAATCTTCATTATGCTACTTTCAAAATTGTTCAGAGGAAAAAAATGTTAGCAGAACTTTTTAAATTGAATTTATTCTGAAAATCCTTAATGTCCTTGAACCATTTTGGGAACCATTTCTCTAAAGCAGAGGAGCCCAAAGTGGGGCCCGCGGGCCAAATTTGGCCCGCCAAGCCATTTGGTTTGGCCCACCAACAGTTGCCAAAGTTACAAGGTTGTAACCTGTTATCCTATGTAGAAACACAGTATTTCCATTGGTCAAATGACTATATAAAAGGGCTGTAGTGAAGGTAGTTTTCATTCATGGTGCTGACATATCTTTGATTTATTACGGTTAAACATGAACATGAAATGACAAGAAATATTTAGATCAGATTTAACCCCACGTATAGATTTGCAAATCTATATGCACACTTTATAAGGCCACAAAAACTCAGATTTTATCAATTTATGAAATGTCCCATGAGCCTTTGCTACTTGAGCGTATGGCAGACACAAGTGCACAGACTAAAACTAAAGAGAGCCATTGCATAGCTTAATCATTAAAAATAAAGGACTTTACTTAAAGAAAGTACTTGTATTTCATGTATTTCATTATGCATTTGGCCCGCAGCCCTGGATAGATGTTCAGGCACCCCTGCTCTAAAGTGTACCCTTGAGAAATGAAGATTGGCAGCTTTACCCAGATTTTTAAAAATGATAAAAGTCACAGACAAGGTTTTAGACCTGGACATGTTTCTAGTTAAAGGAGAGCTAGAGAAAGTCTTTGTTAATCTTTCCAACATTTAAGTGGAAGTCTGCGGGACTGAAGCAAAAAAAAAGGAGAGCGAGAGAACCTCCAAGAATGTCAGCAGATGCTGGCGAACAGCAGTCACCAACAGTTGCAGCCCAGCGAAAGACCACCTGAAGCTTGTGCTTTATCCCCTTTTAGATCTAGTCTGTCCAGCCAGAGTGGTGCTGAAGCTGTTCCTCTGTGAATCGATATGTCTGACGACTCTTCCCTCTTTCATCTTCCTGAACAGAATTATTTGTAATTACCTTCTTTTTTTCTTCTTCTGTCTCTGGCTGCTTTTCTCTCCCTTTTTTTTCCGATCTCGTCTCTCTTCTGCGGCACTAATCTCTCACTCTCTCTCTCTCTCCATGAAAAGGTGCTTTATTGACGTGTAATCAGAGCCAAGTAGCAGGTCTGTGATCTCTGCTCAGACGGGGACATGTTCTCTGAGGACTTGAGCTAATCTTCACTAACTGAGCAAACTTTTTTTTTTCTCGAAGGGACACAGATTCACAGAACAGAACACCTTCTTCTCCCGTCCCGTTGTCCTACCACCCCCTCCTCGCCCCCCGCCCCCCTGCCCAAGCTGTAAAACGAAGCCAAGGTACAACCCGTTTTATAACAGGATAATCCAAAGAAGTCACCCTAATGACTTGAAAACTGGTCGACCCCATTGGTCGGGTGGGGTTTAGATGGGAGGAGGAGGAGGTGAAGTTGTCTCTGATTGGCAGCCTGGAAACGAACCTCAGGGATAAGGACAGAGGGGGGTGGGAGGGGGGCGCGGGGTCTGATCCATCGTCGTCATCATCTTACTGCCTCCATCCTGTTTTCCTGTCTTCCTCCTCCCTTTCGTATCTCATCCCGTCTTCGCCGTGCCTTGCTCCTGTACGCGTCAGTAAAACCGAGGCGTTTTACTAGCTTAAAAAAAAAAAACAATGAAAAAAAAAAAACTTTGCCAAAGTCGACGGGAAAGTTAAGGTAGAGTTCTTTTCTAGGTTTTATTTATACTATATATTTGCATACAGTACTTTACATGCCAATTACAGTGCAATCTTCATTTATTTATTGTTTAAAGATTAAGAGACACGTGTAGTTATATACTAATTTTTTTTTCTTGTAGCCTGTTTTTATTTTATTTTAATTTTTTTTTAATGGATGTATGTTAGATTGTATGATTAGGGCCAGCATTCCTTATCTTAGTAACCCTTTAAGTATTTCTACTTTACAGCTGTTGGGAACCTTTGGCTCATCAGTCCACGCGTTTCAAACACGTAACCAAATGTATTTTAGTGGTTTCAGCTCCTGTTGGGTCTGTGCACGGGCCAGCAGTAACGCCTTTAGAGACATGTAGCAAGCCGGACCTTATAGGCTCCCTTATCTGTATTGGGATAATTTTTATTTTATTTTTTTCTCTCTGAATAGTGTTATAATGAAGCTTCTGGTATCTTATGTTGCTGTTTTCATGCCAAAGTGCAGGCTTTTTTTTCTCATGTCCTCTAGAACCAATCGTCTCCTGTGATGTTCTTGTGTAACAACATAACAAATATTACAAATGTTATTATTACTGTCTCAAACGGAAAGAAAACATTAACTTGATCTGTGATTATACTTCTTATTTTATATTATCTTGTATTACTTTGTTTTGTTTTCTTTTTAAAGCAAAAGTGCCATTTTATTGTGTGTTCGTCCCGTTTTGGTGGAGAATTTTCAGCTGATTTCACACTGAAGGCAGAAACAATCAGATCGTTTTAGGCTGATAGTCGACAGTAATATCGACCGTTCCTTTCTTTTTTTCTGTAGTTTTGTTTTTGTTTTTGTCCAGCGTTGTGCTAAGAGATGATATACAGAGATATCTATAGAGTTATAGAACGAGTAACAGAGTTGAAGCACTTTTTAAAAGAAAAAAAAGAAATCCCGAGCATTAAACGTGAAGAGGTCAGGAGTGGGAGAAAAAAACGGATCCTTTGCTCTTTTTTTTTTCGAACACTACTGCCGACGCTTCCTGCTACGTTTCGTTGGCATTACTCTGACGTTGGCATTACCGGAGCGTGCTCTGACGGCTCCCTGCAGGACCAAGGAGAGTCCACTTCCAAAGGCGGACGGCGCCTTTGTTCCGTGTGCCCTTTGCGTTTTCAACCCTCTGACGTTGTTTTTTATTCCCCCTTTTTGCTCAAACGTTTCACCGCCATCAGGCCAGTTATACCGAACAATCCGACTTCTGTCTGTAGGATGGGTACTTCCTTTATTTTAACGTTTTTATTTTTAAGTGCTGGCCATTATGATCCCTTCGTCTCCTGCACATTTCTGTCAACAAGACGATTCAACGTTTAGCCCAGCAGCCCCACTCCTCCAACCCCCACGTCTGTGCCTTCTGATCCGTTGATTTAGTTTTTAATAATTATTATTTTTTTAATTTAGTGTACATTTTACAGTAAAACTAG